TAGAAACTCAATCGTCATCCTGGTTGATTCGCCGGTAACTGCCACTCTGGCTGTCTCCTTCTCCATTGTCCTTGCCGCGCTTAACGAGGTTCGAGATCCACCCGCCCAGCCCCTCTCTTTGGCTCGTGGCATTAGAGTCCTTGCGTTGGCTGTTGTTGCTGTATTGGGGCTTGCCGCCTTCAACATTGACATTGGGTGGGTTGATGTCAAGTCCGGGAATAGCATTGTCCGCGCCCAGACCACCACCGCGACGAATGTCCAAAGATGGCACGGGAGATCCTGCGCTGAACAGAGATTCGGCTTCGGCCAATGTCGCGGGAGTAGGCATTTGGGAGGTTGCATCACCAAACAGAGAATTCATGTCTTCCAAGCGCACGTTTGCGGTTTCGGGGTATATGAACCACACTGGAACAAATGTCAGCACGCCGTGATCCACAGGATTTTTTCAGCACTTACCAACAACGAAACTGACTGCGCAAAAGAATGCGTGCAGAAGGTACAGACGCCATTGAATCCACTCTTGAAGAATCGGCGTCATTTCTCCCACCAACCAATTGAAGGCCCAATTGGCCGCGGTCGACAGACTGGCACCCTTGGCGCGGATGCTGAGCGGCAAGATTTCCGGCGGGTAAAGCCAAGGAATCGGTCCCCACGAGGCTCCAAAGGCACCGTTGTATATCATGACGAAAATGACGACCAGCCGAGGAGTCCAGACTGGTATGTCAATGAAGATGAAGTATGATATCGCACTTAGGGAGATTATCATGGCGACAGCACCGGACAGGAGGATGAATCTGCGGCCCCAAGAGTCGACAAGATACCACGGCGGAATTGTACATGCCAGGTAACTGAGGCCGTTGATGCCAGTCATGAGAATGGCCTCGCGACCAACCCAGCCGGCTTGTTCAAAGACCAAGGGGGCATAGTAGGAAATGACGTTGATGCCGTTGAGTTGAGCGAGGGATTGCGCCGACATGGCGATGAAGACGCGCTTGTAGTATCTCTTGAACATGTCACTGTAAGATCGCTCGCCCTCTTGGCGCTGCATGAGGACGTTCATCTTGATTTCACGGTACTCATCTCTGGCCTTGGGGTTGTGGATGTCGCCCTTGCCGTAGAGGTTGGCAATAACGACAATACCCTCCTCATCGTGGTCGTTGTCAAGCAACCATCTGCATTTCGTCAGTTTGGTGATTGTCCATGTGGGGATTGGATGTTACCTCGGCGATTCGCAAATAAGCAGACTGCCTAAGGCCAGCAACGACCCCATGGCGCATTGCATGAGAAGTGGGAGTCGCCAAGCCCAGTCATTCTTGATGTAGCTGCAGAAGTAGTCCACCCACACGCTGGCCGCGTAGCCGGAAATGTTGCCTGTGAACTCGACGCAGGCCAGCTTTCCGCGGTTGTGCGGTGGAGAGATTTCGGACTGGTAGACTGGGACAATGGTGGACAGAGCACCAACACCCAAACCAGCAATGATTCTTCCCAGCAGCATCATGGGCATGCCTGTCGCAAACGCCTGGAAAGCGCCGCCGACGACGAAGACGAGGGAGCCGTAGAGAATGGTCCGTCGACGGCCCAAGATATCTCCCATTTTTCCGACACTTAGAGATGCTATCAGGGCCCCTATCTCTAAGATGGCCACCATCGTACCAATTTCAGCGCGGGTGGGCTGGTTGAAGTAGTCTTTGAAGTAGGAACCGCTGTGTCGCACAACCCGTCAGCCCGAAGTGTACCATCAAGGGTGATTGGACGTACGTGATGATTCCCGACATGACGCCCTGGTCGTATCCAAACAAGAAAACCCCTAATGATACAAATACACTGGTGAAATAACTGGTGTAGAGGTCAGCCCTGGGCCGGTCAATGGCGGTCGAGGAGATGGAGACGCACATGAGCTTCTTGCCGTGCAACCCATGCATACGGGACGGGCCATCGTTGGGAGCCATGATGGCAGCGAGTATCCTGATGATGATTGTGAGTATAGTGTAGACGGCGTTTGCGGCGGGCGACGGTACCTTTCGCCTCGCGAGACAACCTTCCGTGGGGGAGTTGGTACTGGGATGTCCTCCTTTTTGATATGCCCAGCCTTTTCGTTGTTGGCGCCAGACGAAGAGTCGTCGGCGTAGTGTACGCGGCGCTGCGGATGGCGCTTGTGAGGACGGGCTTCAGCACCGAGGTCTTGCGATTGGCGAAGTCGAGCCTGCAAGGGATCTTCTTCGTCTGCGAGCTGGTCGACGAGATCGCCCGTCTCGCTCCAGAGCGAGTCTAATTCCGAGTGGTCGGAGTCGGACGAGGAATGGCGGGGCGCAGTCTTCTCGTCGTGGGATGAAGTGGTCGACCGCAAGGCGTGGAGAGGAATATTGGCGGGCCGGCGGCTCGAGGATGGGGGAGAAATCTTGACGGACGTTGGGCTGGGTTGGAGCAGCCCTCTCCACGATGACGGGTGAGTAGCAGTAGTCTCTCTGGACTAGGAGAGGAGAGGCCCGCTGACGTCGCGGGCACAGGGTCCGAGGGCGGTGGCTGTAGGACGGTTTGGGGAGGCCAGGCCTGACGAGTGGATCACGGGCATTGAAAGAAGCAGGACGACGCAACGGAGCGCTTCGTGTAGGCCTGTGGGCGTGCCTTGGGTTGAGAGACGACTGGAGAGGACCGGACACCACTGCTGCGGGCGACGTCTTTGGGGCAGAGACCGGGGGCGCCCAAGCGCAACGCAGCTGCTGCTGCCGGGCCACCCAACGAACGAATCGCACACCGCTCGGACGGGGAAATCAGATGTGATATAATCGACGACGACGGCAGACTCGAACACAACAAAAAAGACTTGTCTGCTGCTCAGCTCCTGTGTCTCCAGCTCTCGTCCGCCCTGCTCCCCAACGTCCTGTGCCCGGTACCTTGGCTAGCTATCCTCCTCTCTGCCTCACTCTATCTGACGGAGTCGGCGCAATGCCGTGTCAGATAGCACCGCCTCAGGAGCACCACGACATATCGCACTATATGGTCCTTCGCCCTCTTCATTCGTCCCCAGCCATACATATTTTCGTCGGAAAAAGAAATCATGCCACGCGCAGCGTTTCCCACCATGAATAGCCTTTGCTGTTGCCCTTGTTCTGTTCATCATCTGCCCGTCCGCTGCCTTTAGTGTGCCCCGCTCCCGGCAAGGGTCTCGAGATCGATTGTCACCAGGCGCCGTGATCCTCGTTGCACTCTGGTCATGTGGGCCTGGAGAAGCTGCGCTCGTGGACCATTTCCCCAGGTCATGCTAGCGCTGTGTGGGGAAGTAGGCACACGGGGCCTGGGGCGCCTTGATGATTTTGGCGCTGCCAGACGACCACCTCTGTCAGCGCCGAGAAAGTTGTGCAGGTCAAGAAGGACGGCTTGCTGGAAGGCATCGCGGCCGAGCGCCTCCATGGAGCCCTCCCGTGGACCTGGTGTGCCTGGCCCACTGGACCCAGCTCCAGCTCTTCTTGGATCTGCTCGCTGCACGCTCTGCTTGTTGGCTGCCGGTAGACCGCTACTTGGCCGCCACCTTTCGTCATCTGTATACCCACCTTATCGGCATGCTCCGACCGTCGAGGAACGATGCAAGATGGGAGCCGCATCAGAGCGTCCAGGTCCAGTCTGGCCGAGGGCAGGTCACAACGTGGCGGCCATCACGCCGCACTCCTTCGCGTTGGCCGACTGTATGCGTTGATGTTCTTTTTGGTCTACAAACTTCCACAACCACCAACCAGCCTGCCTGCCCCCGGGCCGTCTCTCGACTCGCGGGCGTGTCACGTCAAAAAGAAAATTGGTCGCAGGAGACCGGCCTCTGAGCATCAACCACGCATGGGGGCACACCCGGCTTGCCCGCTCGAGTCTAGCTCCTCTCATGTCGCCAAAACTGCCGCTGGCGGGCGTCGATCCATCCCTGCAGCCGGCAAATTGGTCGTCTTGGTTTCGAGTGCAAACCCGATGTTCATTCATTCTTGGTTGACGCATTCCTTGCTGGTCGACTTTTGGGAAATTCGAAGCTGTAGATGAAAGGCTTGTCCCGCCTCATCCAGCCCACCAAGCCTCGCGCTATTTCGAGCATGGATTTCCTGGTGGTTGCATGTGTCAAACCTTGAGCGTCCGGCGATTACCCGGTCTGAAAACAGACTGACTTGGCTCCAAGAAGTGATATCTCTTGGGTAGATTTCACGCTGTGAAACTTCGCTTTGGTATTCTTCATTATGCTGACCATGCATCCCTGGGAGCTTCACACCTCAAGTTATAGTCTCTATGAATTGAAGCGTGGACACTTCAGGTTATTTCACTGTGTCAACCTTCGCTGCTGAAATCATTGGTGAAGCAACCTTGAATGCTCCCTATCAATTTCATACACAGTTACCCTGTCAGCATGTCGGCGCTTGAAGGCCCTAGATGCGTCCTTCAAAAATGCTCGAACGCTTCAAGACGGTCGGTCTAATATGAGATACTTCAAATCTTGCTATCATAGTCCTATTCGAACAAACGAAAGCTCTTCGTATGTTGTTTTTACAGGAACGTGCAACATACAGCTTTCACTACTATGACGTCGAATCTGTCTAACCTTTCCTCCCTCCCTACCCCCAGTTTTCATCGCTCTTGATATTCGCTCTTCATTTCTCTTCCTACCAGAAACCCCTCTCCTGCGCTCTTTCCAACACATCTCGACTTGACTTCATGCTGTGTATCTGGGCGCGGCCAGCATTTCCCCCATTTTCCAACTCGTCTCTGAAAGTCGTAGCCGCCCTCCCAACATCAACCACCGCACTCATCTTCAACGCATACACTACGCATACAGCTACCCCTTTGACGGCCTGCCTAAAAATTATTCCCATCAAGTCAATACTACTCTTGTTTCCCTATCTTCAGAAACCATTTGTCCCCAGAACAAAGCCCAGGAGATACTCCTGGTCCGATTCCACGATCCTCTGCACATGCAAGCTATATATACTAATTTTGGGCTGATTTTTAACAGCAGCGAAACAGCCACTTCTTCCGTGGCGCAATTGGCTAGCGCGTCTGACTGTTAGATGCAGTTATTTCGGTAGCTGGTAGCAATCAGGAGGTTGACAGTTCAAGCCTGTCCGGGAGAGTTTCTTTTTGTCCTTTTGTGGGGCTGTAAGAATAGGCGAGGGACTTCTTTTCGCTTTCCTCTCGTACAGCAGCGGAAGCCTGGCACCAGGAACAGAGTCTGGACTACTGGAAGCGGACGGGAGGAACTGTGGAGGAGAATATTGTACATGTGTGTTGAAGATATTTTTTGTTCTTCATATCATTGCATAGAAGGGCATGTTGAATAAGCGAGCGAACAGGTGAGTGAGTGCGTGACAAGTTTCAGCATTCAATCGAAACAACAATGTGAGTCTACGAACAAGACATCAGGCTCATGGCTGTCTACACACAACCCTCTCTACCTGCAATGCGACTTCGAGCATCCGTACGCGTTATCCACGACCATCAAGCAAGCACCAAAACAAATGAGCACACCATGATAACCACACGACCCACACACCTCACAACCTTTTCCGCGAAACAGGCCACACACGTACGCTGCGGCAAAGCACTTGTGGACAGTGGATGCCCATTGCCCATCCACCGCAGAGTGGGGAGCAGCCAGCCAGCCAGCCAGCCAACCACAGCGGAGCGAAAAGGATGGTGTCAGGATGGAAGGGAGAGAGCGCTGGCTCGGTCTAACTATTTGGCCTGAGCTGAGCTGTGCTGGGGTGCCCCAAGCTCCCTTCTCGTTTTCAAGGGTCTAGCGGCTGGCTGGCTGGCTGGCTGGACAACAACAAACAATGATAGCTGGAGAAGTGCAATGATGGGCGTTCATTGTGTCGTTTCGTGAACGGCGAGGATGTGAGAGGGTGATGCTGGTATTCGATGAATGCTTCCGGCTGTCGCAGCAGCAAATTGTTGAACGTTACAACCGCCCATCTGAGCTTCGATCTCGAAAAAAGACAAAACAGTCGTCGTTGATAATTATGATGATGATGATAATGTAGTAGTTGTTGGAGCGCTCGTAACTCGTCTCAGCCACAACGGGCACGCAAAAGCCCGACAAAGTCTTAGAAGTAGCAATCCCCCCCCCATCATTCGCCAGACCCTTGACCCACCCAGCCTGACCGACCGACATGTGAGCCCCCAACCGTATGTAAAAAAACGCCGTCCGTCTAGTGTTTAGCCGTGACCTTGTCGCCAGTGACCTTCTCGACCCACTCCTTGGCACTGTCGTTGTACGTTAGCAAATATTGACGTGAGGGGGAGAGGATTGAAAAAAAGACTTACACATCGCCCAAAGCAACCATGCAGACCGTCTGCCAAACGCCCAAACCGATTCTAGGAGTAACGCCCCTGTACAAGCCCTTGATGCCGTTCTTGGAGTATATGTACTTGGCCGCATTGGCGACCGTCATCTTCTTGGGGCGGTTGGGGTCCTCGACCTTGCTCTGCATCTCGACGCGAATGACCTCGATGGGCTGGTTCCACGCCGAGAGACCGCCGCCGAGCGTGGATGCGATGATCTTCTCGAGGACGCTCAGCTTCTCGCCATGGTCCTTGCTGGTGACCTTGCGGATGCCGTCCTCGGCGATGCGCGACAGCCCGAAGCGCGACCCCCAGTTGGTGACCTGGCGCACGGCGACGGCGTTGACGCCCTTGTTGATGCCGCGGACGCCCTCGCGCCGGTAAATGTCCATAAACGTCTCCATGGTGCCGGGGGGCTTCATGCCCGCCGCGGCCACCTTGTGCTTGGTGATTTCGACCGTCTTCATGCATGTGCAGAAGCCCATGGTGGCATAGGCCTGCGCCAGACCACCAACCATACCGCCTGTGATGCCGGCGAGGAAGGGGGCGGCGCCCATGGTGCGCGCGCGGAACTCGGCCTCCGAGGCGACAAACAGGAGGACGGCGCCCTTGGTCGAGGCTTCGATCCAAGCCCAGGGAATGAGACCTTGGTAGACTGTTGAAGGGTCGTTGTTAGACGCTTGCTTGAATATGCTGACGAGCCCGGTACTTACATCCAAGGACACCACCACGAGCCCAGATTCTACCAATGGCACCACCAAAGCCATCGGCGCGGTTGGCCGCCATGGTTGTCTTGACCACTTCCAGAGGCTACACGGGTTAGCTTGATTTCGATGGGGATAAAAGGCAGTAACTCACCTGGCCCAGCGTCGACACTTCGAACATGTTCAGACCCGAGCCAAGCAGCAAGTTGCTGAACTTGACCGGCTTCTTTTCAATTGCGGGGGGCGCTTCGACGCCTGCCATAGTGGCTGCGGGAGTGGACATGATCTTGGTGCGTACGCTGTGAGAAGGGGCCTGACCAAGGCAAAAGGGTGCTTCTTCGCAAGTAGAGAATGGGAATGGTATGGAGGGAGGAGGAAAGGGGAAGTCAGGACGTGGGCGCAGCGGAATGTATATGAGCGGAGCTGAGTAACGCACGAGCGTCGTGTCGCTGCGATGGACTGGAGCTGGGACTACGTACAATTACGCCGGGAGGGGGCCGGTGACGGAAATGGAACCCACCACAACAGGGTTACGAGGTGCCTGAACAAGTCGACTGAGCACTGACTGCCGTTCGGGTGTTGTCGGTGCAGTGGAGGTCGTGGTAATCAGCGGGCTGCGGTTGTCGGGCGCCTCCACAGGGTGGGTGAGGTGAGCTGAGGCTAAGAGCATCATAGCATGTAGATGAACCAGCCAACCAGCCAACCAGCCAACCAGCCAACCACGGCGCGCAAAAGGGCAGCCACATGTGCGCCATGCCCTGCAATTCGCAGGCCGACTACGCTAGATGCCGCACAATAGAGAGAGTGAGACCCGGCGGCGGGAATACCGTCGAGCGTGGTGCAGGTCAACTTCATTTCGCGGCGGGCATTCCCGCTCAACAGTCTCGGTGTCCGGGCGGGCTCCCCAGGCCTCAACACCACCCCAACGCCCCAGAGAAGCGCACGGCCCTCGACCCAAGTCTGCCAACCACGGTTGCACCATCCAGCCCCTGGCCTCGCTCTCAATCCCCATTGTCGCCCTGCGGCCCTCGATCCCTTTTTTTACTTTGCGCCCACAGCCGGACCGCCGCCGTCCTTGTGCGACCCGCATCCACACCGCGTCCGCGACTGAGCGGAGCTCACCATACACGATCCGTTGGGCGCTGCACGCGTTTCAAGGCACTTGCATCGTCATTCATCAACATACATTGCACTGCTAATACATTCTACGCGTGAAAGAGCGCCAACCCCATGATCCTGCTTTTATTGCTCCCTATGAACGAACAACGTGGGTAACCATTCTATTTCTCTCTGGATCTTGACCTTGTCCCTCTACAACTTGGCGCCGACCAGCTTGGCATATGCCGCCGTGCTGAACGACTTGGGCCTCTCAATGGGCGCGCCGACGGCACGGTCAATGATGAGCTGGGGAAGCACGCCGAGGGCGCGCGACACGCCAAACAGCACAGTGTAAAAGTTTTGCTCCGTGAGGCCGTAGTACTGGAGGAGGACACCAGAGTGGGCGTCGACGTTGGGGAAGGGGTTCTTGGTCTTGCCGTGCTCCGTCAGGACGCCGGGGGCAATCTTGTAGACCTGCGAGACGAGCTTGAACATGGGGTCGTCGGGCAGGTGCTTGAGCGCAAAGTCGCGCTGCGAGACGTAGCGGGGGTCGGTCTTGCGGAGGACGGCGTGGCCGTAGCCGGGAACGACGCGGCCCGAGTTGAGCGTGCTCCAGAGGTACTCCTTGATCTTCTCGTCGCTGAGGTCGTTGCCAATGGCCTGCTTCATCTCAACGAGCCACTTGAGGACCTCCTGGTTGGCCAGACCGTGCAGGGGACCGGCCAGACCGTTGAGGCCAGCGGCAAGGGAGAGGTATGCAGAGCTGAGGGCGCTGCCGACCAGGTGGGTGGTGTGGGCGCTGACGTTACCACCCTCGTGATCCGAGTGGATCGTCAGGTACAACCTCATGAGCTCAACAAAGTCCTTGTTGTCGGCAAAGCCAAGCTGGTTGGCCAAGTTGTACGAGTAGTCCTTGTCCTTCTGGACAGGGGCGACCTTGCCGTCCTTGTACACGTTGCGGTAGATACGGGCAGCAATGGTGGGGAGCTTCGCAATGAGGTCCATCGAGTCCTCAAAGGTGTGCTCCCAGTACTGGGACTTGTGCATGCCCTTGGCGTAGGCCTTGGAGAAGCTAGACTCGTGCTCGAGAGCAGTCACGGCGACGGAGAACTGAGCCATGGGGTGGAGGTCGTTAGGACAGCGGTCAATGAGCTCCTCGACGAACTTGGGGAGGTCGGAGCGGGCAGCCCACTCGGCGGAGAGGTCCTTGACCTGCTGCTCAGTGGGAACCTCGCCAGTGAGGAGGAGCCAGAAGAGACCTATCCACGTTTAGCAGCTTCTCCCACTCTTGATTTTTCGGTACTGACCCTCGGGGAGGGGCTCCTGGCCGCCAGGGGCCTTGGGGAGAAGTTCCTGGCATTCGGGGATCTAAATTCTGTCAGATGAGTTCGGCTAGTGTAGCAAACATTTCGACTTACAGTCTTGCCGCGGAAGCGGATACCCTCCTCAGAGTCGAGGACGGAACCCTGGTACAATGTCAGCTTAAAAAATGCCAACAGAGCGCGATGTACGAACCTCCCAGACAAGAGACTTGATGCCACGAGCACCACCGTAGACCTGGTCGAGGGTGACCTCGCCGACGACCTTGTTGCCGTACTCCCTTCAATTGTGCGTCAGGACCGAGCTGCGGCACGGATGGTGGGGGACGGGTGCGTACTTCTTGAGCTTCTTGATCTTCTCAACCTCACCGGGGATCTTGGCGGCAAAGGTCTCCTTCAGGGACTTGGGTCGAGGGTCAGCTACCATGATGGAGGCAATCGTAGGGGGAAAAAAGGGAGCTTACGCTGGTCTTGCTCGAGTAGAAGCGCAGGCCATTGCAAACCGAGGTACGCACAGGCGTCCTGAACGAGGAGCGCAGAGCAGCCGAGCCGAGGCGCATGGAAGAAGCCATTGTGGGGGGGATGGATGGACAGTGGGAGGATAGGGAGATGGAGAGGAGAGGAGCGAAGATAAATTATTCAACAGAGGGAGGGAGGACGGCAGTTGGC